TTCCTGTGTTTTCAGTGAGCACTGAATGTGACCATTAAATTTGTCCTCACTGTACTCATTTTCCAAGCAAAAAAGTACTTCATATTCATAAAAAATTTACTGAATTCTTGTCTATTATAAGAATTGTTTAATTTTTAAACTGACCGACACTTTGAATCATGAGTCACGACAGTGGCTGTTACGAAATTTTCACTTGCAAACATTAACTAAACTGAACTGAACTGAATATAATTATATGAATGACAATTCTATTGTGGCTATGAGTGAAACACAGATAATTACTGAACAGCTGAATACTTTTATACTGTATGCACATTTTATTGCTTCGAGTCTCAGCTATACATGTTATGAATATGTCATTTGGATGTGTAGTCGACTCTCCGAATCGACTGAAAAACTGAACCCTTTCAAATTCAAATTAGCTATAACGTATTGTAGTATTTGACAGCTCTGATTTCTTTGAAGTAATGGTTGGGTAAGAACACAAGGTCTTGTACTCATGGGACGAAACTCAAAGAAATAAAAATTAGAAAATTTAAAAGTTTTTAAGAGTTTTATCCCATGAGTACAAGACCTTGTGTTCTTACCCAACCATTAAATCAAAGCAATTAGAGCTGCCAAATTACTACAATACGTTATAGCTAATTTGAATTTGAAAGAGTTCAGTTTTTTTGATACACCCTGTATACACCCTTCGTGCTCAATATAAGTTTGAAAGCTTGCGTCACGTGCATGTCCTTGTAAACTCCATACAAGTGAATAATGACAATGCGAATAAGTTGCAATTAAGCACAAGAAACATTTCCATATGCATTGCGGGTATATTTCGCAAATTGTTTTCTTTGTTTACTCGTATTGTATATGTTATACGTATATCGAATCAATTCGCATAGCCTCCCATGTTGGAAACATTACATAGAAATAATGAAAATTTCAACGCGGGAATCGTTTACTATCTAATTTAAAAACAATAAAGTGCACAAACACAATTAAGTTTGTTGAAAAGCGAGGCAAAGGCGTGGTACAGAGGACACGTATGCGATACATGCATCATAAATTAATTGGGCATATTATTTCTTTATATTTATATTTCTTTTCATTAGCATTTTCAGATGTTGACTGTCTGCATCTTATACATATGGAAAACGAACTAAGTAAATTAGTTAGAAAACACTGACTGTATATGCATTTCATTTTAAATTAGTTTGTTTTGTGAAAACTTTGTCAAATAAACAAAATAAGTTATGAATTAGATGCATTTCTGTATCTGGTTTAATTATCTTCTGTCTGCCCCCTCAATTTACACTACTTTTGTAAACATATATACAAAACAAATGTGGGGCTTAGGCCTTAGCAACAGGGAAACTGACCTTACATTTTCGAAGTCGGAAAATTTAATCAACTACCTTCCTCGTTCGACAATTAAAGTACCGTACAGGATGGTAGGAGGTAGAGTATCCTCACGTCTGCACTAAAATATACAAACCGATCGATGGATTCGAATCTAATCTGACCCAAGATATATCACACTGACATTGTATACGAATCAGTTTAATATGAGTTTATAGCTGCAACACATGACGAAATTCGTTGAAAAACGGGGCAATATACAGTACATCAAAGTACACGGAAGCAAAATATTTATAACGGCAAACGCTGCCAATATATAAAACGGCTCCACTTCGGGAACCATTCGGCTAGTGTTTCGTTGAGGTAATTCGATCATTTAGATCATTTTAACAGTATAGTTTAAGAAAAACTATATACTGTTGAGACAACGTATTTTTCGTTGTGTCAGAATATGAATACCTGAGTCCTGACTAAATGTTGAGTAGCTTATACGAGTGTACATGAATTCTCAAGTGTAAGCTCTTGATCTTTCCTTCACTGAAGTGTATGGACTGTGGATTAATAACCTTATTATTAGCATGACAAAATTACTGGATGCTGATTGGTTGAGAGGAGTACAATTATTTGATTAATTGTACTGCATTACAATTAATGATTTTCCCAAAACAAACAAAATGGCGGAAAGGTATTTAATTAACAAACATGCACAAACGAAATTGCTCTAGACTGAAACTTAAAGCAAAAGAACTAAATGAAAATACGAACAAAAGCACCACAATTTGGTTGAAAGTCTGGCAGGAATGGGCTTTGGCATTGGGGAGAGAATATGATGTCGGCATTGAGAATTATCCAATTCAGTGTCAGCTAATAATAAACAAGTCGGCGGCTCGTCCAATTTTGCCGGCCAAATGTCCAAACATCATGAGTACTAGTAATCCCTAATTGTACTAGCAACATCGCATGATTACCGCTAGCTTTACTGATGCTTATATAAATAGCATCCTGAGTTAAAACTGAACAGGTTCGATAACTCAATTTACATGGAACACTTACACATTACACTGATTTACAGGATATTACCGTTTAATAGATTTAAGCTTGGGGAATGTTACATTTTCTTGCATGAGAATGTTCAGCTATATCCATTTTTGCTTTGCCTATTTGACTTGTTACACTTCTGGAAAACCGGATAATTAAATAATTAATTAAATTGAAAAATACCAATCCTTAAGAAAGATGCATTTTTAATTATTTTGTCAACATGGAAGTTGGAAAAATACGTTTATGTATTTGGAAATGCTGTTGGTCAGCGAATCCGTATATTTATCAGTCCCAATAATATCCACTATATTACGATGATTCAACAAATGACTAGAATTCACTTAATTAATGTAAAGTCCATTCTGCGCTTACGTTCTGCGCAGGCTTTAATACATTCCAATGGTCGGGACCCGACCGTTGGAATGTTATTAATATTTCGTATCTTTTGAACTTTCTTGAATTGAATCTCTAGTCTGTATTCATTTTCAAGCATAGCGAACCAGAAGAATGTTAAAAATTCAGTATAATATATATCTAATCATATATTTTACAACCGTAGCACTGAGTTCAAAATGTAAACAAAGCGTTTGTTTACATTACGGACTTTACATGGTCTTTAAATTAAGCCAGTTTTCCACTTCAATCGTATCGTACCGAAACGTGGCGTATTTCTTTGTTTCCTGAGCAATAGAGTGAAACTAATGGCTTCGACACAAAAGAAAGTGCTATACGATACGATCTGAAGTGGAAAACTGACTTTCTTTTCACTGTAAAGTTCAAGGGGTTTAATCAACTTCAAAAATGTTATTCTGTCACCAAATTAAAACGGTGACAGAATAACACTTTTGAAGTTGATTCACTCCTTGAAATTTACAGTGTTGTCATGTAAATAATAAATATTGTTATTTGAACTTGCATGAGTAACATGATTCGGGCTTACGGATTAAAAGTTTTGCTATAGATAAAATAAGCGCCGTGGTGTTTCCCCCCAAAAATTATGTTTATTGTAATATATTGCCGACTCAAACCGCGATAATGAAATTAGATGCATGTTTGTACTTTGGTTGACTTACATATCATCTCGCCCCTCCCAATTATGATCTCGTTCCGGCAGCAAAACTTTGTAAACATATATAGTATATGAATTTCGGTCATCTCCTTGAAACAGGGAAAATTATCTTTCTAACATTTCCGAAACCGCCAAAGAGAGAGAGAGTTATTTTCGTCTGATAAAATCCATCAATCAATCGTTCCTCCTTTTCAACCAACTCTCATGCGATCAAAGCAAGAGCTGTGAAATCGCTAACTTCGTACGTATACAAGAAAAGAAATTATGATGTGCCATGTCATGCATTGCAAATTACTTTCGTTGCTTAATTTTTTAAAAGACGTAGTTGTATTTTACTAAATTGTATTTGTTTTTGAGTTGTTAATCATGCCTCATTAGTTCTGCATGCACATAACACATGAGCCCCCCATGGAAACCAGTCTGTGTTTTTTGAGAACAAATGATTGGAATTTATGAACTATCGGTAAGCAATTAGGTCCATGGGCTATACTATATACTGAGGCTCTGCTATATAATGGTGGAAAGGAATATGGGATTTTCGAGGATAAAAGTGAAGATCATTGAAATACAGTGAAGCAGTGAAGGGAAATTGACGAATGATTTTTAGATAACAACAACTGAAACGCACTGCCATGCACGTGAGTTGTGACGGTTAATTATGTCAAGATTGCATGAATGGTATTGCCGATTAATTATGTCAAGATTGCATGAATGGTATTGCCGAATCAACATATTGGTACGTTTTAACCGATAAATCGTTAAAATAGTGAATTTAAGAAAACCCTGTCTATACATTGATGAATTATGACTTTTCAAGATGAACTAATATGGAAGAACGTCAAGCTGGCGTGGTCAAGACCTTGAACTTTAAAATGCGTGGTATGTTCTTTGTTTTCCCATAGTCATGTTTTTTTATGAAACATGTAGAATGTATTTATGAAATATTGTAAGTAAATATCTAACACATTCATGAAGCTCTTGACGTACATTTGACCTTCCAGCTCTATGTCGACATTTTGAATGCGTGGCAAAGCTTGTTTTCATTATTACACAAAAGAACGTTTATAACGATAACCTGTTTACAGCTCACATGTAACCGTTTTATCATGCATTCACTTATCAATTAAAACAACAGCTGTATGTATTTTTTTCATTCGGCCATGAATTTCAAGGCGTCAAATATAGTGATTGGATGTTAATTATCAAATTACTGGATATCCTATTAGCACGCGCGCGCTTTCATCTTTAAGACCAGGCTTGTCACAATTCACCAATAATATTAACCATTATGGATAATCTGGGAAAATAGATGGTATTTGTATTGCGCGCGGAATCCTTTCTAACTTATTGCGCAAAAATGTAACAAGCAGATAAACTCGTGCCAAAATTTCATATATCAGCTGTTATGGATATATGTGCGTTAATCGATACTTTCCTTCTGTGTGCGCCTGGGCGCTGACATGACCCCTCGGCATATATACCATTCCATTTTGAAATTTAATCTTGGGAGTAAGTAATTGATACACAAATTTGAAGACGATAAAACTCAAGCACTCGTTATCTGGAGCGTTCACAATTGATTTGCTTGCTTAGCTGTCTCATCACAAGTTTTACGCTAACGGCAAACGTTCGAAATCATAAAATGAAGGTTGTTTGGGTATCTTTAATTTTCATGGTATTTTATCACGCGACTGGTGCAGATGGCGACATCCACAGTATGCTTCGACAATTGGATGAAGAGGAAAATGACCCAGATACTCCGCAGTCCGAGAAGGACAAGTTGGACGAATACCGTACAACATTGATCAAACAAGAGATCTTGAAAATGCTTGGTCTCGAGAGCCCCCCAAATATATCCCACATCCCACACATTCCGAAGGAGACGTTAGACAGTGTCCTACACCAGACGGCTGATAAAAGAGTTAAAGCAGATACTGGAGGTGGCGCTTCCAAACAAGTTATTGTAATGGCAGAGCCAGGTATGATATTGATCTGTCCTCATCTAATTCTCATATTTGGCAACTTTATAGGATTTTACAATAATACTATTATATATAATTAAACTTAGTCTTAGTTGAATTAAGATTTTGGGTTCATGTTATACTTTATATTATGCACTTGGTGAAAGTAGCTCCAACTCCTGTCGCTACTGAAATATTTGAAAATGTATACAGAGCAATAGAATACTAAACTAATTATCGCTGGATGATGCAGCAGTCATTTGTTGGCAAAATATGCATATAGCTGTGATTAAGTATGGTGTTTCATATACAAAGAATAGTGATAGTTTCATGCATGCAGTGCGTCAATGCATACATCTCTCGATTAAATGCAGGGATATACCGCAGTGATAATTTCGTGCAGTGCGTCGTCAATCTGACAATCTCAAAGAAAATGATAGTTCTGTTCGATAAGAATAATGCCGAAACATTACATGGTCATAGCAATTGCGTTTACACCTTAGTTAACGTGTATACTTAACTTAGGAGTTGCTTTGGTAACTAATCGTTTAAAAAAATAAACTAATTAATAGCACTCTTGCATGTTACGTTTTTTGACCGTCATACCGTCACGGATTAAACTGTGACGAGTGTTTGAATAGCAACACTATGCCTAGTATGACTGTGCTATCCAAACCACAAGACTATTAAATTGAAATATATTATGCTATTTGGTAAATATGGTAATATTTTCGTAAAAAAGACAAAATCTGAAAGACTGCTATTCTAATAAAGATATATACCAATGAAATAATTGCATGTCTGAATACGATGAAAGTTGTCTGCAAGCGTTTAATTCGTAATTTCCTGTTCAAATATTTGGACATGTTAAAAGTTTCTTTCAGTAAACATATTTTAATATCCATCCGCATTGATTAATTTACATAGCCGCAAAATAACCTTTCTTTAGGCCTAACTTTGGATATGAGCCAGGTTTTGAACCGCAAATATACTGGAACAAAATCTGTAACAACTAACCCTCTTATACCTCCACCCATTTTATATTGCTTTTAACGGTATATGATCTTGAGAATCCGTGCGAATTATAGTTACCTGACAGTAGTTCCTCGCTGAATGATTAAAAATTGCGCACAAGATTCATTGATCCAGCCGTACGCTGCAAGCCTTTTGCTGATCAAATATTTTTGGTAAACCAAACCAACTTGATCTAGTTCGCAATATTCTACAGCGAGCCAATCATGTAATCGACAATTTTTTACTGTTCACATTGATTGAAGATTTTATTGAAATTTATTTATTGAAATATCAGTTTCAGATGATGCGACGCGCGTCCACGTAAAAATTGTCTTGGTAAAAATAGGACAGACTTTTTACTTTCTTAATACCCGACCAGATATTATCCTACACGTCAGAAACCTCTTGAATTCACCTGATGGCTCTACACCCTTCCGATTCTTATCTTCCAAAGTAACTCTGCGAAGGAGATGGCGCCGGTTTGAAATAAAGATAGGACGGTCGTGGGTGTATGTTTATACTGTGCTACAGTTCTATGCAAATATTTATGTTATCGGTACATATAAATATGCTCGGGTGCAGAAATTTAAGTGGACCGGTAGTGACGCCAGGAAACACTGCAATAAATTCTCCGCATGTATCGATGTTAAGAAGGAAAGATTAAATGTTTCGGTAAACACAAAGTGAGATTAACATGCATGGTTTATTCTAGTTCATGGAACTTTCCGCAGTAATTATTACTGTTAAATTAAAAAGCAATTTTCTGAAAGGTGTTAGCGCATTAATGCATGTTTGTAGATATTAAAGTGTATATGCGTGCAACGTGGTAAACCCGGGCTTTAAGTATCCAACTTTTGTCGAGTGGTACTCGAGTTAACATGCATACATGTATTTAAAAAAAACACTGTGACGTGATAAATCTATAAACCAGAACTTTGTCACGGTTGTTGCAACAACATATATTCGGCACAAATGAAATTTGAACAAACACGCGACATAGAAAAAGATTGCCTCTTTGAATAGACAAATGTAGACCTGTATTGAAATCCCCGCCCCCCATTAAGATTGCAATGTATATTATATCTTTTCAAAATCCAACTTTGTACAGCACATTCCTGTGGCTGTGGTGTAACGCTCTGAATGGAAGGTGAAACTGTACTATACTTCGATATCAGAAGTTTGGCATAGACATTGTTTTCCACATTTTATAAGATTTGTAGTCAGGAAATGCTTTTAAGATGGAAATGAATGAAGTGCGAACATACCAAAAGGCCCGTTGGCACTTCGCTCAATTAATTTTTGGTTCGGTATATGGACAAGTTAATGTGGTACCAGGCTACCAGCACCAAATCAGTTTATCCTGCTCGGTTCTTGTAAATAGGAGTCACAGCCCATCGTGTAATTAAATTCATTTGCATGATAGATTTTTATATCCATGCCGCGTAGTGTGTAAAACTCCGGCTTAAGCAGTTAAGGTATATGTTTAAGTACTCCACTTATCCCCATCATTCTGTATTGAAGGCTGAATGCATAGAATTTCCGGCCCTTCTCTAGCAAAACGTGTGCTTTTGAGAATATCGATCGATGTGAGATAGATGCCAAGATAATGCCATAAAGGATGTCACATAAATCATATAGTTTTGTAATCAATTTAACTGCATGCATGGTTGCACAGTAAACGCACACGTTTTATTTTTAATCATATATTTATTCCAATTCATTCTTACTCTTAATTAAGCATTATACTTTCGCAGGCATGCAATATTTACATAAACTATCAAAGTCTGTATCCTAATCATAATGTTTTCTGAGGAGATACCGTTCTTCTGTAATAAAATGCAGGTGGGCTTATTAATTTAACATGATAACATTGATTGTTGATAAAATCTTTCCAATCAGAAATTGATCCGTTAAAATCTTGAAACAGTAGGAGTTTATATTAATAGCTATTTGAGTAGTATTTATGGACACTATCAAATTCTATATATCAAAGAAATAATCTATCATCCATGTATCAGTTGAAAGTAATTAAATGTTTTGTGAGGCCATACCCTTTTTTTCAGAAAATGTGGTATAAATTTAACATGCAGATATATAAAATTGATTGCTGATGTTTATATCATTTCACTCGTAATTGATCAGTTAGAACGTTTAATTCATACATGTTGAAACAATAGGAGTTAACCGTAATTGTTTTAATCCCACCGCGCGGGTAAGTCATTTACCGGTTGCGCCTACCATATATAGCTAGAGTTTATTTTACTGACCTTGGCCCATATTTTCCTTTATGTTGAATATGTGAAATGTACTCAGAACTAATGCCTCTCAAGTTTACTTGCATTATTCAGTAATACATTTAAGAATCTTCACTCCCGCCCAAACCCAAAGACTGCATGGTGACCATGCATGCTGTACCTTTGACTTTGTTAGGCATTCTGAATTGTTCACTATAAAACTGTACAAATTAATTGGAAATTTTTACATTTTTTGTAGAAGTTAATTTTAGTTTATATTTGACGAAGATTTCAGCTTTCCTGTTTTATCATGGTCAGAAGTTTAAAAACAAATGATAAACACAAAATGATAGATGAATGATGATGATCGAAGAAAATTTAAAAAATGCATGTGTTAACTAAAACCAGGCACTGACTGTATTGCTGAATATTTTTTCATATACTCAGTTGATATGTTTCAGTACGTCGGTAATAAACAACTTTATTACTAAATAAGGTATGTTTAGAGCTTTATCTGTAAAATAATGCTGAAATGAAGAGATTTTAGATGGTACGCCGAATTAGCTAACGGAATAAACTGGATTACTGGAAAACAGTCGTATGGTACTAACAGTGCGGTCCGCTTGAGCATGAGTTAAACACTAGTGTCCGACAAGAGCGAACACAATCTATTTTTGCAATAAATACCAACGCTTATATTCACGCAGCGAATATAAGACATATAAAGCAACGCCAAATTTTGGGCACCGCAATAAAACTAAAACAAAAAGTGATTTGGGGAGCTACGTCAAAACGATCAGTTCAGGTTTTCAACGCTGTTCATCGTAAAAACGTGACATGCATAGAAACAAATTACACCTCTTATTAATGAGTTTGAGAGTACATGCATTCATTTTACAGTTTGCTTTTATTTGACGTCACTATGTACTCCTGTTACTAAAGACGAAAGCCGTGCACATGTTTGACATACTTTGATGAACACAATGGCAGTTTGCCTAATGCAATCTTAGGAATGATCTAAATGTAAATAAAATAAAATAATATTACAGTAGCTATATTTGCAGTAATAGAAAACCTTAACGCCAGCGCAAACAATAAATATTTATACATTCCTATGAAAATCCTTTACATGACTATACCAGACAGAAACTGAAGTCTTGTTACTCGGGTCATCGGACTGAAAGTCTGGATTTTGCTATGCACTTTATATCATCGTATACAATTCTTTACACTGAATCAGATTCGGAACGGAAGTTGGTTAAAGAAAAGATATACAATTGTAGTAAACTTCAAACCACTGTGTTCAAACTGAGAAACATAGTAAAACTTCATAGATAGTACAGTTTGAACTTACTAATTTCCAGACGAAGCTACAGTAGGCTTTCGCACAAAAATGTAGACAAATTTTTCTAAATATTTTTCAGGAATTCAGGTTAAAAATTCTTATAAACACTGAATTTCTTGAATATCACTATATATACCATAGATATCTTATATAGACTAGATAGCGCATCTCTTTTAGTAAAATTGAAGCCAAGAATATTCCAGCGGTTACCCCCATTTGAATAGATGGCGGCCATGTTGGTAGTTCCCACTCGCTAATAAACGCTTAAAAAACAACAATAACTTTCATCATTTGAATAGTTTAAAAATGTATTTGGAATAGGTTTAATTACTTCATATTTAAGTTCCGTGTTTAAGAAATAGAAAACATACGAATCTTCTCATTTCATGGGAATATCCTGAGTCTGCAATCACCGGCTTCAATTTTTGAATTGTATAGAATAATTAGATGCACAGTAGTGTATATAAGATATCTATATGATATATACTATATAACTTCGCTGTATTCACTTGTAGGTTTATGTCTTATATAATATAGTATCGGTTTCGAGTTAATACTAATAATAGAGTTTCTGGAATGTTGTTTAGTCGATGGACAGTCGTTTTGATAAAATTATTTTGAAAAGAATTTACATGACATGCTACGCGGGAACGCTCCACTGAGAGTGACACAAAGTGCGTCAGTCAAGGTCAGATTTTAATACCTGCAACTTATTTCAATAAATATAGGAAATTAACAAAATACCTTGTCGCGAATCTTTCCCACCAGTGCTAAAAAAATTTGTTTTATCTTCAGTGTTTTCTGAGACTGAGTGTTGGACTGTTAGAATTTTACGCGAGTGAATGAGTTACTCTCAAAAAAGCGTACGAAGATTTTTGGGATTTTATTGAAGTTTTTGCAAAATGAATATCCAGGTATTTTGGATTTTTCGTGAGATTTTCAGCGGATTTTAACGGCAAGACTTTAGGATTTTGAAAAGATGTTGGGATTTGGGAAGGATTTTTAAGATTTTGCCAGAGATTTTGAGATTGTTTTGCTATTTTGTGGAATTTTAATATTTTATAGTGTGTAGTGTCGGGAGTTGAAATTTTCGAGACTTTTATTTTTAGGAACGTTTACGAGGATTTTTGCAGTAATTCGCTCCTCGATTTTACCTTGAAACATGAAATTATGAAAAACTATAAATAAAAGACAACCATAATAATAAATATCTAATTGGATGAAGTAACATTGGAGTAATATTAATTTTGTAACAGCATGAGTTGCTGAACTTGCAACATCGCTTTGATTCTTTTATATTTCAGCACTATTTCACAGATTATGTGCCAAGCATATACTTTTCAAGTTCGATTGGTAATTGGAAAACGTATCACAAAAATCCGAAATTTTGAATGCCGAGCCGTCAATAAAAACCAAGTCAAGTGCATGGCATTTTTTATTAAATTTTCGCTCAACAAAAATTCGAAGCAGTTGAACCTGCTCAAAGCGAATTGTGATTATATTGAGAGAGTGAGATATTCGACCTTTTGTTTCAGGCTCAATGATGCAGAATTCAATCCAAATTCCATTCATAATTTCAACACCCAGTCATCCACAGAGTGTTACTTACTAGTCAAGAATTCTGGTGCCAATGTCATTTTTTTGCCAATGTCAAAGTTGTCCAGCTTTAATGTTTTGATACATAATATGCCAACAATGTTGTTATTAAAATCATTCGATAAAAAATGGGGTCAAGTTCTTCGAAATATTTTGGTAAGAAATCTAATTCTTACAATAGGACGTAGTAGCATATAGTTATTACGTGCGAGTTGACGTAAAGGGAAGATATATAAAGTACAACGTTTTAAATTAACGTAATTTCTTGGTTACATGTTGATTGTTAGGTTCCAGGAGTTAAATAAAAACATTCAAGATTTTCAACACTCACAGTAGTCACCCATGCAGAGTATATTATGAATGCAGCTATGTTTCTATATGGTGGCTATTGTCCAATTAGTAGATTATGAATGTTTTCAAACAGCATGTGCAAGGTAAATTTCTTTGGAAAAGATTAACAACTCATTATAACAGTAGGAAAAGTTTGAACAGAAATGTAGCATAGTATCGATACAGCCTCCCGGAGAGCCTGAGTAGCCTGCCTATATGTCCTATTTAGTACATCAATAAATATCAACATGCAAACATACCATACAGTACATAATATATGAAAGTAGTCAGTGTATAGAAAACACGCGTGTAGCTAGTCATTTGCAAACAGGTTTGTAATATATAGCTAGGGTGAACACCAAACGTGATTGGCCGATTTGTGATCACATGGTTTAAGATAAGTGCGGCAATGTATCCCACCCTCAGTGATCCCACCGGGTAACAATGAAAAATTGTTACACGCCCCGACAGGCATAAAACACAATAAAATTGTTGTGTAAATGTTGTTGATTTTTCTTTCGTCGGGAAATAGTTAGTTTTGTTTCCCCTCGAATCTCAGACTGAGACTCTCTGGAAAACAAAACAAACTACTTCCCTCGGTGTTTTCTGCACTGAATATGCACATTATACGCGCCTCGCGTGTTTCTATACAGTGACAGCTTTGAAATAACTGTAAATAGATTATAGTAGTATATGGATATTTATTGAATAGGAAATTATTAAATATTAAATAGGAACTAGTCACCGTAGTCGGGTTCCTGTGTGCTTACGTGCATGTATGGATAAATGAATAACAAAAATTATGATGAACTAGATAGCTATAAAATATAATAAATTTATGCCGTTTTACTTCAATACATGCCACTACTTTAACTAGCGATAATTTTGTAACCACACCAACCACGTTCTTATTTTACCTGTTATCCTGGATTATATCTTAATTACGTTGAACTCTTCCTCATCTTCTACATCTCCATGCAAAAAGTCGGACTTGGCCATGCTGAGACAGTCCTATTAATTATACGGGGAGGGGAAGGACGGGATGAAATTAATTAAAAGTTCTGTGAACTTCTCTTCAGTATAATTATACCGAAGTAACAATTACAGTTCTTATTTAAATTTGTTCCGGCGAATACTCGAATTTTCATAATATTATCGGGGAGGGGGAGGACAGGGGATGAAATTATGCCTAGAATTCGCGCCGTTGGCTCGGGGATTAATCATATTTTGGACTATTTTCTAGCTGTTTCTATCAGGTTGTACGGTTTTTAGAAATTTTGATCGACTGTAAATTCTGTCAGGCTACTGAGCGAGATATCCCTGCAAGCTATATATAATTATGTAATATAGATTTGAATTTGAATTTTTATACTACAATGTGGTAAATAATATAGTAAGGTTGTAAATAAAAATATTGTTTGAAATTATTTATTATTGAAATGTATTGGGTCTAAAATATTTTATTACAAGTATTTGAGCTATACATGATTTAAACTCTACATTTGTATACAATGATTGTCGGAATAATTCCTGCTTTCCATATATTTTCTACAGATTCCTCATGGGAGTTGAAAAATTCAGAGACACTGTTCATGCGGTTTCATACAAGTGTGAAACTTGGTTCATTCTCATCGGCAACACTGGTCATTAGACGCAATCGAGAAGTCCTTACGAACAAATTATTGAGGAAACATCGTTTGTTGATCGCAAGAATATTCGGCCTCCCTCATCGACTCTCACAATTGGTTGGACATCCAAAAATCATCGAAATTAACAGAAACTGGGTCAAGTTGGATATCACTTCAATTTTAAAATCTAAAGCTAGCGATAACACGATGACGAATATTTCTGTTGAAGTTATATGCGAAGAATGTGGGAACGAGAAGGGTTTTGTAAATTCCAAGAAACGACGTCCATTTCTTATTTTGAAAATGAAACCGGTTACTAAGATGCGAAAGAGGCGTTCAACAAACTGCGTTGGTAGTTGTTGCTTAGTGAGACACAAAGTCAATTTTAAAAATATGGGTTACAAATTTATAATACAACCTAAGAACTTTTATTTGAATTACTGTAAAGGTCCGTGCCAAAGTCGAGGAGGCACGCAATTGTTCTTGAGGCGGATTAATATATTAAATCCGAATATGACGACTAATCCAAACGATAAATGTTGTGTTGTCAAAACCCTGATGTCATTATCAATACTGTACACCGATGACACAAAAGGCATAATAAAAAAAGACCTAAAAGACGTGACAGCAGTGAATTGCGAATGCGCATAATTCGCTGTAGTGCTGACCTTCCATGGTTTTTTTGGGACAATCCAAATATTAACAATGTAAATAAATGCCATGCATAAATAAAAGAAGAAAGTGACAGTCGAAAACTAAGAATACATAATTTATTTTGGAACGGTGGAACTGACGCATGGTTCAAAAAAACGCGTATATAATATAGAAAATGTAAACTTTGTGTATGTAGCTTTTTTATTATAAAGTTAATGTAACTGTTGACCTGGTCTGTTGTGCAGACCTTTTCGTTGCGAAGGGCGCCAAGGTTTAATAACTGCACTCATTGACATATCCAACTGCTGGAAATAACTAACTTTTCCACAAATTTATTATAGTTTGCTAAACGTTTGCTAGAAACAAGCAAATTGATTATTGATGCTACAGTTTTCTTATCGAATAAATGTTTGACTCTGCCGACCGGCAAAAATTGGTCTTCCCTCGGTTTATTTACAAGCAATTAGAACAACACCAGGCAGTAACTCTTCTTACTTAATAAGTCTGCATTCAATTATCGGGAACGGCAAAACGGAGAATTTATTCAGTATTACAGGGAGAGTTATGTCGGAGGGATTTTGGAGAGTTAAGTTTGAGTCACGCCCACTTTTTTCTACGACTATACCTAATTTCTTAACTTCTTGGATGTTTGCTTTCAACTAACATGAGGGAGTTAAAATTGGTGTGACTCAAAACGTAGAAAATAATGAGAAAGTTAGCATATTTGTAACTCTTTCTGTTGCTATGGTTGTGAAGTGAGGCGAGAGCTACAGCATGTTAAATTTTATTTGAAAGTGAACGTCACTCATATTTTGAAAAACGTCGCTTAGCGATAACGACTTTTAGAGTTTCCGCTGTTCAATACTTCAGTAAAAGAAGTAGCTGAATACTGTAATAAGCTTTTGAGTTTTCAGCAAAACAAAAGCAAAAATGTTTTATATTTTTCAATTATTATGACTTCAGTGAGACCTGTAACATTTGAAACAAGTAACAACCACCAGTACAACCATGCAATTACCAAAGCGAGAAGGTCAAACAGTAGCACGCCCAAGATATTCAAACAACCTTAAACTATCGCTTTGCTTGACAACCACAGCAACAGAGAGTTAAAACTTTGTAAACTCTCCCATAATCTTTTCTATGTTTTGATGAAAGAGATCTAGAATTGCGTCAAATTTCTCTCGTGTTAGTTGAAAGGAAACATGCTTTCTTTGAAGATCGATCTGAAATCACTGAATTTCGTTAAATCAAATTTAGATCGATCTCAGATGTGAAAGGGTCCATACACTGCTAATCTATTAACATACAAATTGAAAAGGAGTGCATGGGCTCAGATGAGTGGGCTTGAGGTACACCATGAGTAATATGCTGAGGTTCAGATACATGATATCCTATTCTGACAGATTGAAGACGTTCTCCAAGATAACTTTTGAACCAAGTAGTAGCCACAGGATCTGTTCGAAATTATTTGAGTTTTTCTAAAAAGATAGTGCGACTTATGCTATCAAACAATCAAACGCCTTGCTTAGAAAGCAATATAACGGTTGTGAACTTTTTATTGTCAGTAGACTGATATACGTAATCTCTAATGGACACCTGCAAAGTTGCGGTAGAATGATTTTTTACGGTTGCCGCTCTGACGATTGGTAAACATACCAGTGTCGATCAGGTGGTTATTAAACTGTTTGACGTGCATGGTCTTAATGTACCCATGCATATGCACCCTAAGTATTTTAAATTTGTTCAAACTACAAACTCAATTAAGGTTACAGTACACCCTTTTTGGCGTTTTGCGGAAAATCGCTACTGCGCGCTCAAAATCAGTCCGATTTTCATCAAATTTTCACCAAATGTTAGCCAGTGCATGCAAAATATGATAAAGTTGTAAAATTGACAAACAATAAAATAATGTAAGAATTATTCAGGAAAATCTTAAGTCCCGGTACCTTTACGCTTTTGAGTTATGTTCCTGCTGGTTTTAAGATATATTTATGAAAACATCATTTTTATACAGTAAAATAGTTGTTCTAAAAAATTGTGTTCGGAAATTTTTGTTTATTTTGTCACTCCGCTGATATGGCGATTTCTTTGACGACTGCGATATATTTCTGAATCGTTTGTGTGAATTGCTCCTTATTACTAAAATATCCAAAATTAGAACAAAGCCGAACCCTATTTTGAAACTGACGTCTTTAGCTATGTCCTGTGAAAATTTGAGAAAAATTCGTTAAAACCCGCAGGAGCACAACTCGTTTAAAAATCAGTAATTGCCGTAAAATTCTTCGGGAGAAAATTGAATTTGAATACTACATTTTCAATGTTTTTCTGATTGCAAGCGAAATGTATTGATTAAATAACTCTGCGTGTTTTTAACATTTTTTGTCCACACTTGGTCAGATAGTAGAACTAGTCTAATGCTTTCATGGAAACCAATAAAAATTTTAGGCAAAACTAACACTCAAAGGTGTTCTGTAACCTTAAGTTGATGAAATAGAAAAGAAAGTTAGGGAATGGCATCCTATTTCCTCTAGAACTGTGTGTGGTCCCTAACATGGAAGACGTTTGATGTAAGAATATTTAAAATCCGATAAAAAAGTGCTCATGATCCGGAATAAACAAACCGGTTTTGTAATTAATGATGTCGCAATTTGTTGCCTTGACAAGATAAGTGTCATCGTATACTTGAACAAGGCATACCATCCACCTGTAAAAGTTTCGTCGGAATACACCAAATGCTTCAGGAGATATTGACCGCGGGCACTCTCCTCCCCCTGCCCATGCAGTCTCAGAACAAAGTCAGAAGACAAAAAGCTCAGCCTGGATAGGTTTAATTTATTAAATTTCTAATGAACAAATAGCAAGTTGACGCGTTCTAAATGTAATTTTGGCTTAATTTTAATCGCTTTGCCAGGAGAAATAATTTACCTAAAATTCTATTCTAGCTGCTGTCAGAGAGAATTTGATAATGCGCATGCTTTTGAGTACTTCAATGGTGACAAAATTTCAAAGATAAATATCTTTTGTCGACTTTTTTCCAACACCTATACTTAAGGATGCTGAAGCTCCTTATCTTAAGTATATATCTTAAAATAATAGCTAAAGTCGGAGTTGATTCCCAGAAGATATCATTGCTGAAATTTGATCCTTTTAAAGCCTCTTTTCTGGGTGCTATTAGCCAGAAAAATATTCTGAAAGAGTGGAGAAGATGTTGTATTTCAACTACCCAGTGATTTTTCTGCAACTGTCTTTTCACTCTATAATGTATGGCTTAAGTTTTATGACTGTTGAAACAGGATTAAATTAATATTATTATCACTATTGATTCCTTCAATTTGCCAAAAATCTATTTCTTGTTAATATGCCGAGCGCATTGTTGGTTAAAACTGAGCTAAGAGGCATGTTAGTTTGCAAATTAATTTTTACAAGTTTTTAAGCATTAAAGACAGAATGCTTTACTGTGAATGTACCAGCCAACACTTTAGAAAGTGTTGGGAACGAACCCAACCGAATGTCGTTTATATATCAAATAATAATCACCACGTCATTACACTTTATTTACTCTCAAATTTAGTTTATTCTAAGCAGTACATCATGATAAATATCTTGTACATATCAAATATCCATGCATCATTCTGTCCTCGATTCTGTCCGTATTTCGACTAATATCGGTCGTAAACAAAGGTTTGATCTTATGGCGATTTTAAAGCAGATTACGTTTGTATATCTATCACGAATATCAATAGTTTTCCAAAAAGCCTCGCTCGCGAAGACTGGCCCTAAATTAATTATGCTAATGTCAACAAACGGCGCGAAATAATTAGATTAATTATAGTAGCGTCCGTAACATCCCGGCCCCCCAATGAGCGTATCACGTTAGCTCATTTACCACCTTTATTCGTCAGCCTCCAGGAAGCACAACTTCTGAATTGGACGTTTCAAAACATTGTTTTTCGTTTTCACTTCGGCGACTCTGACAAGACCATCCTTTCCAGGAAACACCTTCGTCACTCTTCCAAGTAGCCAATGTCCTCGTTGAAGTTTCTCGTCTACCAGGAGTACAAGATCACCAACTGCTAAATTTCGTTGTGGTGTAAGCCATTTTTGTCTTTGTTGTAAAGTTGGTAGATACTCATGTAACCACCGTTTCCAAAAATGATCGCTCAAAATTTGTGATTGTCTCCAACTCTTTCTGCTATACAAATCAGCATCGTCAAATTTTCCAGGAGGTAGAGTAATCGCTGGTCTTTGAAGTAACAGATGATTCGGAGTTAACGGCTCCATGTCCCGAGGATCGTCCGAGTTCGGGCACAGAGGTCTGGAATTGGCAATCCCTTGGGCTTCTGATAACACCGTTCTCAAGACTTCTTCTTTAACTAATGTCTTTCCTAGGATAGCCTTCAACGATTGTTTAACACCACGAATCAGTCTCTCCCACACTCCCGACATATGGGACGCTAATGGCGGGTGGAAAATCCATTCTACTCCGGTTTGTCTTAAATGCTCTTCAATCTGATTTTGATTCCACCTTTCTAAAGCTTCACGTAACTCGCGCTCTGCGCCCACGAAATTTGTACCGTTATCTGAACGCAGTTGTTTAACGCCACCCCGAATGTTTAAGAATCTTCGTAACACCATGATGAATTCATCGGTTTCCAGGGACTGGGCTAGTTCTAGATGTATGGCTCTCGAGGCCATACATACAAATATACATCCATAACGCTTGGCAGAACCCCGTCCGTGTTTTACCATAAGTGGTCCGAAAAAGTCAATGCCCGTGTTTGTAAAGGGAGGTTCGAAAGGAGTAAGGCGAACTTTAGGTAACTCTGCCATTTCTTGGGTCATCCGTACAGAGTATCTTTTCCTACACGGTATGCATTTGCTGATCACTCGTTTAATAGTCGCTCTGCCCTTAACGATCCAAAATTCTTCTCGAAGTCCAGATAACAACTGCTCTTGTCCGCAGTGTCCAAGTTGTTGGTGATTAAAACGAATTATCAAGGTTGTAACATGGTGATTCTGCGGTAAAATCATCTGATGTTTACTGTCAAACGTGCTTGGTGCTTCTGATATTCTACCAGAGACCCTTAGGAGTCCGTTCTCGCCTAACATGGGCTTAAGCTTCACAATCGAACTCGATTTCTTCACACGTTGAGCGGTTTTATCCTTTCTTTTAAGATCTTGCAATTCTTCCGGAAACGACTGGTGTTGAACAAGTGAAACAATCGTTCGTTTAGCTAAAGTCAGGTCGTCCGCGGTTAAAGTATTGCATTCTAAACGTTTGCCATTTTTCAACCAAGCTTTGTACTTGCATAGCCAAGCCACATATTTAAGTAGTTTCGACCAGTCCGAGTATCTTTCGAGGAGTTCATAGAGCAGAGGGCTTACAGTCGTCTGGAGGCGAGTCGCACAAGTCGTTTTCTTCCTTTTGATTTCCAGTTCGCTGTCGGGTATCTCTTGAATTGGCTCATCGGGCCATGTATCTCTGGGGTTCGAAAGGAACTCTGGACCTCTTAGCCATCGCTCTTGTTCTATGTATTGCTGAGGGTCCAAACCGCGAGAACAATCGTCCGCAGGATTCAAACTTCCTGGACAGTGCCGCCATTGACTCGGATCAGTTGATTCCCGAATTTCGTTTACTCGGTTAGCTACGTACGTTTGAAATCGTTTCGTCGTGTTGCGAATATACGACAATACTATCATACTGTCCGTCCAAAAGTACGTTTCATGTATGGTTATATCGAGCTCATCTTTAATCATCTTATTCATTCGTACAGCTAATAATGCACTTTGCAATTCGAGTCTTGGAATCGTGGGTGACCGAATGGGAGCATTTTTCGACTTTCCCATGACAAACGAACAGTTAATAGTTCCGTCGCTGTAGATGATGCGTAGGTACGACACGGTACCGTATCCAATCTCTGAGGCGTCACAAAAATGGTGTAACTCGACAACAGCATCGTCATGATCTGGAAGTCGGTAGAAACAACGAGGGAAGCTCATCTGAGTCATCAATGGTAAAAGTGATTTCCAATTGATCCATGATTTCAGTAGATCGTTCCCCACGAAATCGTCCCATTTCATCTTCCTCCTCCAACACAATTGGAGAATTTGCTTAGCAGGTAAAAGATCTGGTGCAGCAAATCCCATTGGATCATAAAAGGAGGAAACACATGAAAGCACACCTCGCATGGTATTTGGTTTGTCACAAGGTTTTATCTTGAAACAAAAGGCATCATCTTCGACGTTCCAGTGGACACCCAGCGTGCGTTCAATAGGAAGTTGGTCAAGACTTAGATCTAGGTCGGGCAAGGCTCTCCTTTCAACAGGCACTGTTTCAAGAACTCTCCGACTGTTGGACATGAATTTGGTCAATTTAAAGCCTCTACGTGAAAGCAAAGACATTGAACTCTTAGCTACTTTAATAGCAATTTCTTCATTCTTTAGGTCTCTCAACATATCATCGACGTAAAAATGTCTTAAAACAGTGTCAACGACAAGGTTATCAAATTCGCTCTTATTATCTTCGGCAGTCCTTTCAAGGCAGTAATTTGCACAGCTCGGCGAGTCTGTCGCCCCGAAAACGTGAACGGTCATAACGTATTCATCAGGTGGTTTGTCGAGACTTCTGCTCCACCAGAAAAACCGAAATGCATCCTGGTCTTCTGGAGATACCTTACCTGATTGAACATACCTCAATGTCCGCCACTAGCGCAATGTTATCCTGGCGAAACCTTATAAAAACACCAACGAGACTGTTCGTATAGTTCGGGCCTTGCAATAAATTCTCATTTAGGGACGTATCTTCAAACTTTGCCGCTGCATCAAAAACGACTCTGACCTTTTCAGGCTTGTTCTTATTGATAACGTGGTGGTGAGGAAGGTAATTGGTCTTGTCAGTTTTGGCTTCAGCCTCCTCCCTTGTTAGCTTTCTAGCGAACCCCTTTTCGATGTATTCTGCCATGGTCTTTCGATACTTGGTTTCTAATTCTGGGTCGTTGTTAAATTTCTTCTTTAAAGATTTCAGTCGTTTCTCTGCCACCATTCTGTTATTGGGCAATTGAGGACAATCGTCCTTCCACAATAATTCTGTTTCATAATGTCCGTCTAGAAGTTTTGTGCTTCTTTGAAGAATATTCTCGGCTCGACGATCTTCAACTGATGCAGCCTTTCTCAAATCGTTCTCCCTTAATCCTGATGTTTCGATTTCCCAAAATTTCTCTACTTGTCGATTGAGCATCTGATTGGTGGTATCAAGAAAGTTCACTGATAACTCTTTCTGACCAGTGTTAGTCGTATTCACACTACCAGCAACAGTCCAACCAAGCGCTGTTCTGGTTGCATACAGCTCACATTCCGAGGTTTCGGATACCCTAACTTCGCGCACAATATGTGCTCCCTTTACATCTTCCCCGATGATTATAGAATACGCTTAAGTTCGACTTCAGGCATCGTTATATCAGCCAAATGCTCATATCCTTGACAGTCAATCTCATTTGGGAGAATTCTTTCATTCATATCAAGCTTCTTCACTAGTCCTTCGCTCACTTCCAATATTGGGTCAGAATCTGCGGCTTCTGCAGCCTGAAGCAAAAGGGACACTGATTCAAATTCGCATTCCTGTGTTCCAAGCACTGTTGTAACGGCGATTGACTGTTTAGTTCCTTTCACGTTCAGTTTCTCTGCCAATTTCGCATCAACAATAGTTCCACGGCTTGCATTGTCAAGTAGTCCATATGTCGTGACCGAGTTTCCATCCTTCGTTAACACTTTAACAGGTACAACGTGTAAAAGTACGTGATTTTCCTTTCCTTGCGTCATTGTCGTATAAGATGCCATCGAATCTTGTTGACTGTCCTTTCCAAATTTGGATTTGGGTGGTTCAGATCCAGCTGCCCTTTCTGGTTTCTCTTTGTCTTTCTCTGGTTGTCTTTGAGTGGTATTGGAGGATTCACGATCATTAGACTGGAATTTAGAGTTATCCTTTGGTGGCGAAATTCTTCGATGAAGGAGTGGGTGATGCTTGTAGGTAGCTTTACATTTACAAATGGTGGTTGATATACACTGGGCCTTCATGTGTCCCGACGCTAGGCATAAATGGCAAAGTTTTAAATTCTTTACGATTTCCCATCGCTCTTCAGGTGTTTTCTTAACAAAGGAGTCACAGTTTGTGAGTGAATGTTTACCCTTGCAACACGGACAAAGGCCGGAGTTTTCGAGGTTTGTTGTCAACGTCGAGATCTGATTCTGAAGTGGTGGTTTAGGTGATGGTTTCGGTAGCCTGTTCTTGGGGTCAATTGGTTTCCTCTTTGTAGTCAAAATGTGTCCATATTGGGGATCGTTCATGATTCTGAGTTGTCTTTCTACTAGCTCTAGAACATGCTGTAATGTGGGGTTCAATTTGGTTTCATCACAAATTTTCGGAAGTTTCTTTACCCATTCTATCTGCATGTGCATTGGCAAACGATCAACAACTCTTTCAACGTTAGATGATGCATTAATTTCGTGTTTGTAATTCTCATTGTCCTTTAAGACTTCTAAACAGGAACGTAAATTATTTCTGAGCTTAGCGGAGAGTTGTTGTCTCCCCTTTCAATGCGAGGACCCACCGTGACTCGTTTAAGGGATGCCTTGACTACGCTAGAAGGATGACCATACTGAGACTCTAATATTTTCATGGCTTGACTAAAACCGTTTGATTTCAGTTCACAATGTTCAATTGCGTCTCTAGCATCACCTTCTACGAAACTGAGAAGACGAGTTATTTTTTCTCTTTCATCAAACTCTCTTTCGTTTAACCAAACCTCCACCCGCTTCTTAAAAACAGGAAACTGAGCAGGGTCACCTCTAAATTTCACTGGCTGGGGTTTCGGAATCCCTTGCCGCTGTAACATGGCTTTCATAACAGTGGTTGTTTATGTTCCCTGCTTCATGGCACTAACCAATTGCTGATTCATTTCGAGTAATGTAGTTGTTAAATCAGGTTTAGTTTTGTCAACGCTTGGTTTAAACTCGGGTGTAGATGGCTCCGTGTCATTGCATTTCTCAGAAAGGGACGCAATCCCTTGCTTGTTATCGAGCACTGATTCGGGTGGCGATTTGACTAACTCAGGCCGAGTTGAGGGGTGATCTGTCTTGTAGAAAGCTCTGTCCTGTGGTGTCGAATTTTTTACTTCTACCTTCATATTAACCCTGTTACCAGCTACAGTCTTTGATAAACTACGCATGCTTCCGCAGTCACTATATCTTTCGTCTGCCTGATCGGCTGCCAAAAGTTCGGCTTCTAACTGAGAGTACTCCGCTTGGTCCCGCAAATCTTGTAACTCACATTCTATCTGTTCTTGCATTTGTTTTTCCTTTGCTTTTGCTCTTCTCTCTGCCTGCTCCAGTTTCAACCTTGCTAATTCTGCTGAACGAGCAGCCGTCTTCACCCTAGACGACACAGAGGACCCCCCTGAACGTCTACTCTTTGACGACCTTGACATGGAAACACTACTTTGTACTGACACCGAAAGTTTATCATCATCCTTAAGGTGAAGACCATTCTCAAACTTTGAGTCTCTCTGTAAACTGCGAATGCTCTTGTTAAGTTGACCAATAGCTAGTTGATTACATTCATTTATTTTTCGTTCGAGACTTTGACGTTGGATTCTAAGACGCTCCAAGTCACGCGTGTTATTAATCAGCTGAGAATAATCTTCATGTACTTTGAGGTACTTAACCCACTTTGAATGTATAGTGTCCAAAGTTTTTTCAATTTCTGTAGTCTCAATATTACTATAATCATAAGTTTTTAAAGACTCTGTAGATACTTCAATAATTTGCGAAAGTTTTAATAATTCATGCTTTAGTCCTTTGGAATGTATTTCATTTAAATATTCTGCGTACTCACGCTGGACCTTCCGGGTCCGAGATGTCCTTCGTAAACCGTCGTCACTTCCGGCTTGTTGACTTCGTCGATCGCGAAGTTCGTCGAACTGTTTTGCACCGATTTCATCCATAAAAGATCAAACTATGTTGGGAACGAACCCAACCGAATGTCGTTTATATATCAAATAATAATCACCACGTCATTACACTTTATTTACTCTCAAATTTAGTTTATTCTAAGCTGTACATCATGACAAATATCTTGTACATATCAAATATCCATGCATCATTCTGTCCTCGATTCTGTCCGTATTTCGACTAATATCGGTCGTAAACAAAGGTTTGCAACATAGAATTACAAATAACGTTCATTAACAACAAGTTCAATTGTTTCAAAGTCAAAATGAAAGAAATACTTACATCTTCTGGCGATTTTAAAGCAGATTACGTTTGTATATCTATCACGAATATCAATAGTTTTCCAAAAAGCCTCGCTCGCGAAGACTGGCCCTAAATTAATTATGCTAATGTCAACAAACGGCGCGAAATAATTAGATTAATTATAGTAGCGTCCGTAACATAGACAATCCATAGACAATCCATAGACAATCCAATGTCTTTTGGATTTTGGATTGTCTATGCCACAGCGTACGCAGCAATATGAAGTAAACTTCTTCGTCCGCTGTGGAGTCGACGACTGCCCGGCAACATGTATCACTCCTCTTGACAAGCACGTAAGAAGGAAAATGAAATGGATATAAAAAGTGACAAGCACGTAAGAAGGAAAATGAAATGGATATAAAATATTGTAAATAATGTTTTATTGTAAATAATAAAACTGTGTTGCAATTGCATATATGCATGCATGGTTATAATTAAAATTTATTAAGTGTATGTACTCGGTTCAATACAATAATATTTTCTTATGTCAAGAAATAATTTTCTTGAAACAAGGATGTGAATCTTTCAATGAAACAAGTTTTCTTATTTTAAGAAACATTCAAGATTTTGTACTCAAGATTTGTTTTCTTATAATAAGAATTTTAGAAGTTAAGATCACTTTTATTGTATCAAGAAATTATTTACTCATATTAAGAACAGTTTTTCTGATTTTCTCACATCAAGAAAAAAAATTCTTTTATCAAAATGAGTAATTCTGTGGGTTAAAATAATTTCTTATTTTAAGAAATTAAATTCTTGTCGAGATTTTGTCCCCTAAAATGAGAAAAATTTTCTTCGCATCAGAAAATTTTTCTTTGCCTAAGAAAAAAATTCTTAAGATGAGATATATTTTCTCAGTAAGAAAATGACTTCTTGCTGTGTGTGTCAGAAAGTTGTCCCATCTTTTGCTGACAGGTTATGAAGATGTCCCATCTTTTCTTAACCCGCGGAAGCTTAAAAGGAGTCTATAATATTATTCTTTACACCACGCTAAGTTAGAGTAAAGCGGCGCATGCAGCGATATATAGCGCTAGGTTTTGGAATAATATCCAGAATACTTTTAGTGAAAACTCTTGTGTCAGAAAGATGTCGCATCTTTTGCTGACAGGTTATGAAGATGTCCCATCTTTTCTTAACCAGTGGAAGCTTAAAAGGAGTCTTATATTATTCATTACATCAGGCTAAGTTAGAGTAAGGCGATGCAGCTTGCGCTATAGGTTTTGGAATAATATCTAGAATACTTTTAGTGAAAACTCTTGTGTCAGAAAAATGTCCCATCTTTTGCTGACAGGTTATGAAGATGTCCCATCTTTTCTTAACCAGTGGAAGCTTAAAAGGAGTCTTATATTATTCTTTACATCACGCTAAGTTAGAGTAAAACGGTGCATGGATGCATGCAGCGATAGCGCTAGGTTTGGGAATAATATCAAGAATACTTTTAGTGGAAACTCTTGTGTCAGAAAGATGTCCCATCTTTTGCTGATAGGTTATGAAGATGTCCCATATTTTCTTAACCAGTGGAAGCTTAAAAGGAGTCTTATATCATTCTTTGCCTCACAACTCAGGCGCGGGCGTAGATTCCGTAGATTAGCTATAAGACAATGGTGTCAATGCAGCTATTGTTTTTGGAATAATATATACAGTTGATATATACGGTGGTGAAAACGTTTGTACCAGATTCGTGTGCGCACTAGGGCCTATAGGGAAAGGCGATATAATTATATAACTTTATAAGTCAGTTTCTTTATTATTAGCCATAGAAAACTTACGCCTTTGCATGAAGCCGGACTTTTTATACTGCCAAGATCTAAAACGGCAAATATGTTCCGCGGTCTTGACATGGAATTATCGTGCTATTCTCTAAGATACCAAGAACGTTTTGTTTTACAACACACAAGTCTTAATATTATTTCATATTATACGCAGCCTTATTACACATTGTACGCAATATAGTATAGCCTGGCACTAGGTGACTTGTCAACAGTCAGCATTGTGACATATTTGTACACTTTTATTTTAATGCATAACAGAAAATTAACTTATTACTTGCTTGGTTTCACACTGCGTCTAAGCAACTGAACCTGGATTGATGACATCTTATAGCGGTAATTAATAATGCGATTAGCGTTGCTCGCTTCCTGAAGTTGCAAACTCAGTTTGCAGATCCCGCTGTTTTTCAAATCGTGCGGGTCGTCATGTATGTTGTGTTTCATTATACAGGTGTGCATCCATTTGTGTTTTACAATTTTTCAATTTTTCATTTTATGTTTTTTTTTATACCCATATTTGGGTAATAGGGGTGTGGGTTTTTTTATTTTGATAAAACATAGATTTTTTTACACTCTTTAGTGTAATCCAAGATGGGTAGTATCTCAAAACGTAGTTGTGTACCTCTATCATATTATAATTCGCATTATCCTAACTTCTCTTCAATGTATGCGCAGAGATTGTGGTGGACTATTTATACACAAAATGAGGTTTATGTCCGTGAAACTGAGGATAAATGTAAAACGAACTGTGTTCTTGCGGGATCTAATGTGTATGTAAAATGTTTTCAATGTCAGGATATCAAGTATGTGACTATATTGAAACGTTTTCCAAAACCTCAGAGTCGCATACAAGTGATTTTGGAATGGATGATTCAGGCGTATGCAGTGAGTAAACATAAGAACGAGTACAGATTGTGGCAACCAACAAGATCAGAAATAATTTCACGTCGGATAAACGATGAAAATGAAAATATGGTCATATGGTCATACGACCCTATATCCGGTTATCAGGTATTTATATATTGTAAATATTTCTTGTTTTGAATTGTATTTAAGTATGGGGAACGCTACTTTAGGGTGTTCGCAAGAAGCGCAATTGTTTGATATAGAGTTGTTACAACATTTTCATCGTGGCACACATATCGCCTCATTCACAAGAAGAAGAGATTTTAATGATTTGGGTTTTTAAGATGTTCGAAACTTGCGGGGGAAATGTTGGTTTCGTAGGTGTGTATTTTATCAAGGGATCTATAATGTTTTTGCTAACCCCAAGTATTTAGAAGATAATAACTTCTTGACAATTTGTGAATATGATCGGTGGCATTATGAGACAGACACGTGTTTGACAGCACATTTTAGCTTAACAAATCGTAAGAAAGATCGTGTTTTTGAATTTCGAAAAATTAATTTATCTATTTGGGTGTTGCGATTTGAATAACTATTTGCTAGGGAAATAAGAAAAACCGAGAATGATAATTTGGATGTTATTTTAAATATATTACGCTATACGGGTGTATTATTATCGTTAAAAGTGGTCGAGTTGGCACGGATTAAACTTGACCAAGTGGGTGTTCAGGCGAGATTATTTTTTTCCATGGACTTATTGGATCAAAGACTAAATAGTATATTTAATTCAAAGGAATTCAATGACGCTTTGAAGATTTTGAAAGTAAAAATGGGTAATAACCAAATTAGGTTGTAAAATATTTAAAGAATGTTCTAAAAATACGTATAAAAATAGGTATTTGATTTTTTAAAATTATTTTGTACTGTGGCAACATATCGGTATGACCCCAGTGTGGAATATAAATGGGAACGTATTGTTTCAGAATGGTTGGAAAATAAAACATTTGTTATTAAACCCCCCAACAATTGTATAGCGTCACCACCTAAACCCGAGTGGAATATTGAACTATTAGCGCGTACTTTAGTTGAAAAGAAAATAATTCCCGAATCAGTGGAATATGATGCACAGTTGTATCAAGTTTTAATAACGCAAATACAGCTTCAAGTATTGAATAACTTAGTGGTTCCTAAGGGTGTTCAATGGGGGAATTGGTATAAAAACGAAGAAACATTACCCCTCGAAAAAGGGGTTATAAAGAAGAGAAAAGAAGATTATAAGAAGGAATTTGAGAAATGGACTGGTGTTAATTTAGATCACTGACATCAGTTAGCATATGTAGAGGCTCGTAGAAAACGCGCTCGTGAAACAGATCCGAAAGCATTTAAACCACCTAACAAAATATTATCTCGTAATAATAATAATAATAATAATAATATACCATATTTATACAGGTTAAACTTGGTCAGCTAAAGGAATAGCTGCTATCACTCAAGGACCTGTTTAGACTAAATAATCTGTTCTATACTTATATAATAACTAAAAAGTTTTTGGCTTCAGCATTTATATAAAAATATTTAGAAATCCACTAATCAGTTTTCATAAAAAAGTTTCTACACTTTTGCTTACAACGTAAAAGTGATGTCTCATTCCTCAAATCTTCTGGAAGTTCGTTAAAAACCAGAGCTCCTTGGATCGAGAACATCTTGCGTCCAGTTTCTGTTTTCACTTTTGGTAGTCTCAATTTTGAGTTGTTTCCTCTTGTTTCTTTCCGGTGGGAGAACTTGTTAAAAAATGCCATTAAATTGATTAGGCACAAGGCCATTTAGACACTTAAAAACTTCCTGTACACAGTGAAGTTTCCTAACATTTCGTATCGAACACCAGCGATTAAGTGTTACGTTTGTACCATATACGATATTGATAGCACGGTCTTGAATTTGCTGAAATCGATTTGCTGTGCTATTTGATATACCAAGAAATAAGTTACCACAGTATCCAAGAGTTGATTCAATCATAACTTTGTATATTTTCTCGGCAACATATGGACTGACATTCTGTCGGATACGTGATAACAGTTTAGCTTTCGCAGATGCCTTTTTGACAGTCCTGTCAATATGACTGTTGTAGTTAAGCGACTTGTCCAATTCTACACCCAAATATTCATACGATTCCGCCTCGTTTATTGGTATTTCATTTATCTTTACTTGTACTTTCGGCGATTTACGAAGTTTCTTACTCGCTCCAAAAAGAACAAATTCAGTTTTTCCTTTCTTAAGATTAAGAACGAGCTTGTTATTAGAGAACCATCTCGCGAGATTGGTATGTTCAGAGTTTAAGTTTGATTCAATAGCTTCACATGATTTGTCAGATGTGTAAACTACTGTGTCATCAGCATATAAAAGAATTTGACAGTTTTGCATTTGCAAATCGATATCATTTATAAGTAGTACGATGAGAGGGGGACCGAGCACTGATCCTTGTGGCACACCAGTAAGGACAGTGTGCCCCTCGGAAGTTGCCGAGTCAAACACAACAAATTGCTTTCTTCCGAACAAATAATTTTCTAGCCAGGTCAATTCTCTTCCTCTGATTCCATAACATGGAAGTTTCGAGAGTAACCGACCGTGATCTATCGTATCAAATGCTTTTCTTAGATCTATATATACTGCTCCAGTTAATTCTCCTTTATCCATGTGTCCTCTTTATCCATGTGTCCTCTAAGTTTTACCTTTTGAATTTTAAATTGCCACACGTTTTTTTTCTTGTAAATAAAATAATGAGGCTAACCAATCGGGGCCAGCATGATGACAATTTGTTTTTTCGCTACGAAATCGAATCCCCGTATTGAGATGAACGTATTGATATGTGACCGGGCTTGTAAAATATGTTAAACCTGTGGGGAAAAATTTATGCCCCGTACCCCTAAGAGCATCTTGCCCCATTTCTATAGCAAATTCTTCTGCTCGTTTCTCATGATTCTCCCATTCCATTTTGTAGAAACGAATGATTCAGCCGACGATACCCGAGTTGTTATCTCCACGCTAACAGCAAACCGACCAGCAGTGAAAAAAACGAGGAAAAAAACTTGATTTTATACCGAACAATGACAATAGTAAACGTTATATTCCATGCGAATTATAATAGTGTATCTTTTAATTTAAATGTTAAAGATTTTGAAAATATTTTAAATGACATTATACCCGTAAATATTAGACCATTTAATGTAGATTGCGATTTATATGACACTACATATTTGATGCAATTTTGGACACGCATAGCATGTAAAATATCTTTAGGTGAAATGTTATACCGCATACAATTTTTTATATAAAATGAGTGTGTACGGGTTTGATTTCTTAAAATTTTATAGTAGTCGTGAGAGTAAGGAATTGTGTGTAGAAAGTTTGAAACGTAAATATGAATGTACCTCAGGGTCTAACAGTGGTACATTACCCAAGAAATATAACCGTTCCTGATTGTCCTGCAAATTTTTGTGAGGGTGAACGTGATATATTGTGGAAAAATGTTATTTCTAGATATGTGTGGAGGTATTTATATGTTAAAACAAAAAATCAGATAAATTTGATGGTGTGGAATGCAACATTTCAAACAGTTTTGGAATTTTTAGCACATACTAACGGGGAGATAATAGACACATTACTGGCGGAATGGGGTTTTGAGGTGTCTGAATACCCGAGTATTACAAGCTTTAACAGTTGTGAATTATACAACATATCCCAATGTAAAAGACAAAGACGAAAAACTTACAGTGTTCAAAGGTACGAGTGTGTTGACGAGTACGTTGATGATATTTTGGACGTGATTTAAAAAAAATGGCCGCAATTGATAAAATTGATTGGTTGGAAACGGCTGATTTTGAAACAAAACGACAAGAAAATTTCAATAAATTACGAAGATCAGAGGCTTTTTTATTGTTTAAAACAAGATTGGAGGGGAAAATAGCGTCTTGGAAATATTGGGATGAAATGATTGAACAGTTGGAAAAACATAAACTCGATATATCACGTTATTTATATACCGCCAAACATTTTGATACAGATGGGGACGATTATCTATTGGATGATTTTATAACTTATATGTATGTGTTAGCGCAATGTAACATTTATAACGATATTGTAAAAAAATATAAAGAAATTTCATTTTGATTAAAGTATCATTTTTTTAATACATTGATTGCAACATTTTAACTCGCTATCTTCCATTTTTTTAAAACAATAATATGCGTACTGTTTGGTCTCTTTAAGTTTATCTAGTGTCTCTTGATCTTTTGAATTTGTCCAGAATTCTGTTTGTTTAAAGTTTTTTGCTTTTTTGGGATTTGGTTTTGTAGATGTAGATCCCAATTTTCCTTGTTTTTCCTTTTCCGCGCATGATTTCAACTTTCTCTGTTTTCTTGGCGAACCCACGCTTGATTTTAACTTTCTCTGCTTTTGGGTTGCAGATTCAGTTTCAACGTTTTCTCTTCTTTTTTTTGGCCGGTTTGCTTCGGTCTCAGAATCATCGTCGGGTATTATTTCAACATCATCTTTTTCATCTTGATTAAAATCACATGTGGATTTGCAGTGTAGAATTGAGTGTGCTGTATTATAAAGCTTTTTATCGATCATACAATCTCTACAGTTTAACTTTGTACAGCTTGCCATCAGAATTACACTTCAAAATATATAAAACATTTTTTCTACATTTTCTGTTTGCCCAAATATGGATAAGTTAAGTTATGCAGATTTACTTGTGAAATATAACATACCGGTATCACCTTACGTATGTAAATGCCGCTGTCGTACAGAGCGACGATGTGTTTCGTATACTTTATGGGGCATATGTGATAAAGATATTGAAATCATTCGCAAGGAAAAATATATGGAATATACATGGAAAAATATATTAAAAAATTGAAAAAAAACAACAGGTAAGATTTTTATTTCTTTATTTTTTGCTAAAATTTTTTAAAATACAATTTCTTAATTTTTACCAATCCGCTAACATCCACCAATTTCCACCCTTTTGTTGTTTTTTTGGATTTCCACCTTTTTGTTGTTTTTTTGGCCTTTGGGGTGGATAGTGTCTTGGGTAGGGTTCGTAGTAGTATCGAGGTGGTGGTTGTCTTCTATAACCCCGCATACTCATATTTGAATGTCTATTTGCGTTCATATTGTTTGCTTGTCGTTGGTTTACATGTACATTAATAGGTTGTTTTTTCCCACCACCACCACCTCCAAATAGTTTACTTAAAAAAACCGCCTTGTTGATTTTTTTTAGTAGCACCACGTTGATATTTTTTGCCCTTAAATTTACCGCCTTTTTGTGTTGCACCACGTTGATATTTACGACCCTTAAAAGTACCACCTCGCTGGTGGCGGTATTCATACGGAACACTCACCATTGTTAGATATGTAGTGAAGAATGATGTTTATATGAGTAGCGTTGTATATTTTATTATTTTTTTTAGATGCCCGTTACTATTTTATGTTATGGAGAAATACATCGTGCAGATATACTTTTTACAAAATTAATTAGCGTTAATAAAGACGAGACAGTTTTTCAAATACGGTACGGTGATATTACGTGTAATATAACAAAATATTTTTATCCTGTTATACAAGAATTGCATTTGTTTGTCACCAGCGGTTGGTTACGTGCGGGTCGTTTTAATCCTATCTCAACCATCTATCAAAGACTGTCTCGATTTTTTAAAGATATTGAAAAACTTATAAAAATTGACACACCTATACAATTATTTCTAATAAAATACTACGGTATTTATATGGTCGATGAAATGATATGGTATTCGTTATTTGCAAAAACTTATACGAATTGTGGTTTATTTGTGTATAATAATAATAATTACGCGAAATATGGATTGTGTCTTACCAAAGAAGAATATTAATGGTTACGCAATAAAAAACGATTATGTCAGGACGCTTTTCTATCGTGGAACATTTCTATCCTTCACACGAACATTAGATTTAAAGAAAGATTATGGAGATAAATATATTTTTACATTAGCTACTAATAATTTTAAGATAAGTGATCATAAGGTGACTTTGAACTATGAATCAAATAATTGGGTTTGTATTATTTTAGCGATATACGGACCTTCGTTATTAAACACTATATTGTCGCACATATTTAAAGACTTTAAAGAAACTAAAAATATTGATGTAGTGCAACTTGTACGCAAATTTGGTGTAGCGATAACTGAAAATGTGTTGTCTTTAATATCACATTTACAAACTGTAAAATATGTACAATTTATAGATCTTAGAAAATAAAAAAGTAGTATTTTTTTTTATTTCCTCTTAGACGATGTCTGATGTTTGTCAAAATACAGCACCACCCAAAATATCTACAGGAAATGGAACCAGCTTTATAATATTCTATAATTCAACATTTTATAAGTGTCATACCCGTATTTTTTCACCTCATGCGCATTTTAGATATCATTCGGTGGGTGATCATGTTTTTGGGATAATTTGGGAACATTTTGCCGCCGATACTGAATGTTGTATACGACTTAGTGAAATGGGTGGTGGTGATGGGTTTTTATACATTCAAGAACCCTATTTTCTGCCGTTACCTATAAGATATCTTTTATCTTATGTTACATGTTTTTACGCATACAGTTTTATAAATACCAAAAAACTAATATTAACTCATTTTTATAGACTGGGTATCCACCTCGATAAAAGTATAATACGATTCGTAATCTATGCACATTTAAAGCGTATTGTATTTAGATATAGATCTAGTTATACATTAGATTTGGACAGTTTACCCCAACATCACGATGAGTTGTTACAGCACGAAAGATTACACGGGCGTCGGTGAAATATCAAATAAACTTGTCAAGCAAATATTTCATAATGAACTTAATGATCGCTATCTCGCATATTTAGATATGATGACGCGTTATTTTATGGGTAAAAAAATAAATGATTTAACCGATGTAATGTATATCTTGGTATGTGAAGAATTTAAAAGTTTGCAAAAAAAATATTGGATAATTTTATTGGGTTATTATATAGTGACCATATATGGGTATATACCTTTTTCTCAATTAAAATTTCGGGTGTTTTTTCTACGACAAATAACAAGGTTTCGAAATGAAATTTGTAATACAATCTGTACAGATATTCGGATAACGTGTTTATGCACCAGTGCGGTATTTACGGGATTGGTTTACATAGCCTATAAAATACTTTGGTAGTTTCCCTAAAATTTTCATTTTCACATCAAGATGGCTACAACAACAACACCAATCGAGATATACGGTAAACAATTTACATTGTGCGAATTTGTGTTCGCGACGAATGAGAATCAAAATAAAAAATTAGTTTGGTTTGAAAAGATCAATAAAAAATGTTGTCTGTCCAGCGTGGCACCGACAAGCGGTGTACAGCATCTATATAAAATGAAGATGCCTCTGAGTCGTGATGAGATTGTCGAATTTGCCGAACATTTTGCAAATGTGAAAAAAGGAACTGAAGTTAATCAGTTACTCAGCGAAGGTGAAGATTATTTGGGTCAACCTACGAGACTCGTGCTAGCAACCAGTAAATATAAAGGTTTGGTTTTATCGCGATATCTGGCCGACAAACCCACGATTACAGTTGTCACACACATTCCCGATGGTGATGAGGACCCCGACGCACCCGTCGAACCAAACGGTAACACGTCAGTTCCAGAATTACTATGGCGTGAACAATTCGCCAAATTCTACGTGGGCAAAAATGATGATTGGGGTAAGATGAGCAAGATCCTACATGTATTTGTGGATGCCGTGTATGTCGAAATGGGTGAAAACAAAACCGAAGGCACGCCACCCCCCGCACCACCCCACCCCCACCAGCTAAAGAATTAAAGAAACCTACAGCCAAAAAGAAACCTGCAACCAAGAAAAGAAAAGTTGAACTGGATAGTGACGATGAGGTAAAAACAACAGTAACTTCTATGTTATATTTAATGTCAAAATATGATGCGCCATATGAGGTTGTGATTAAGGGTCATCAAGATGAATTGCAACCCAATTTAAACTATGACATATTGAGATCATATTCGGGTATTCTTTTTTGTACAGCATGTAAACTTTCACAAATGAGTAAAAAGTATGATGTCGTTCCAGACGATATGTTTTTGCGTTGTCTCACAAAAGTAATTAATAAAATTTTAAAATAAAATTTTTTATTTTTTAGACAAAACGTGCAATGTCGGTCATTATTGCTATAATGAGGCAGCATGATATAACGGCAAAAGAAGCAGTATTTCAATACCGCAAAGAAATGGAAAAAGAATACCCGTTCGACTATCTTGATCTAATAAGAAATGACGATGATTTAGAGTTAGATCGACTATATAAAGAAATGTTAGATAAAGGGTTACTTTAAATTTTTTTACAGTGATGGGTAAAAGACGTGAACTCAGGAAACTTGACGTTAAAAAAGCTGCAAGATTATTAAAACACGAACATTTAGCTGATGGTCAAAAAGATTTATATACTTTACATAATAAAAGGATTATTAAATATAAACGTTTAAAAATACACGTCACCGAACGTAATCAACAATGGAGTATTGATTTAGCTGATTTAAATAATGTAAAGGGATATAATAATCAATATCGTTATCTATTGGTTTGTATCGATATTTATTCTCTCCACGCGTTTGTGAAACCCCTGAAGACAAAAACATCTAGAAATGTGGCTAATAAATTTGAACAAATTTTACAAGAAGAAAATGAAAAACCGTTAAAAATTCATAGTGATGAGGGAACTGAATTTACACTTATCAAAAGGGATCTAGCCAAAAAGTATGGTTTTTCATTATTCTACACCTATAATCGAGAAATAAAAGCTGCTCATGCCGAACGTTTTATTCAAACGATAAAAAATATGATATCTCGTTCAACTACTGTACTTGATCAAGGACAGAAATATATTCAAAATTTACAACATATTGTTGAAAGATATAATGAATCCCCTCATCGAGCTCTATATAATTTATCACCCTATGATGTCTATAAAAAGGGTAAAATACCAAATGAATTTCAAAGTCTAAAAAGTTTTCTTAACAACAGTACACCGACCAGATAGCTGTTGAAACAGGGCGACCTAGTACGCATAGCGAGAATAAAAAGTAATATTTTTGAAAAATCAAGTCTCGTCGTTAGATAACTGAAAAATTTCGCATCCGTAAAGTTTATATTACAGATCCCGTAACGTATCATATAGAAGATTTAAAGGGTGAAGAGATTAAAGGCATTTTTTATCGTAAAGAATTACAAAAAATATGAATATCCAAATTGTTAGTAATGCTAAAAATATAAGTGGTGGTGAAAATTTTACCAATGATTTTATAATGCCGCTACCCACATTGATTGATGGTAAAAATCGCGATAGATATATCCGTGTTTTAAATATATCGTACCCACAAACTATTCAAAATGTCCTTAAAGAAAAATGTGGTATCGCTGTACGTTTGAATTTTCACGCTATTACTACACCTTATATTACAAATGTCAGTTTTAAATATGAAACGGATATGATGTATTTAACCCCCGGTTACTACACTCTAAAAGAAATAGTTGACACCTTGAACGCTTTTGTTGATGAATACGAAATAACATTTTCGGTTTTAAATGGTGGTCGTATAGGGGTATCTTATTCTATTGAACGAACTTTTTATTATAGCGACCCAAAAATTGGAAAAACATTTAGTCCGTGTGTTGTGACCTCGAAAAGTGCCTAGAAAACGATTTTCATTAAGCATGTCTTAGATCTGAAATATTTTTACGGGAACTAACACTTTCGAACACGCTGAGTTCAAATCCGAAAAGTTTCCACTCAGTAGACCCGCAGTTTTTTCACAAAATGCTATTTTATCTTCACTAATTTCACAACAAATTTTTTCATTGTTCAACATCACTGATCGATGACGACACACGATTATGTCACTCAAAAGGACCAATTTCTATTAACCATTCTTCCTTTTAACAAAAGACCGGTTTCGCTCGAATCATTTTGAGTTATGTAATCTTATGCGTGTTGGACGTAAACAACATATCTTGTCTACAACTTTGAGAA